GTAACAAATCGTTTAACGTGCAACGTTCGCATGACATTAACAATAATTTACGGAATTGTGACGTTAAACGAGTTTCTCTCATGTGAATATGTTCCAACATAATTTGTACCTTTTATATTTCGTTTACTCGATAATGACGAACATTTACACGTTATAAATGTCTTTTCTTTTTTTTTGTAAAATTTTGCATCGTCATTACTACATCGATGTTTGTCCATTCAACTATACAATTACGAAGCTTCATGTGTGTTTTTGTTTTACAAAATTAATAATACAAAAAGATTAATTTAAAACCAAATAGAGAGAGAGAGAGAGAGAAATTTATTTTATTTAGAGACATGATGTGTGTGAATAAAAATTAGAAAATAATTAAAATCTTTGCTTATATTTAACAAATTTTTGCGATATTAATTAATAAAAATATTTCGAATCGAATCATAGTCAAAAAAAAAAAAAATAATTTCTTTTTTTTTATATATATTTCTAAAAGTATTATATTATAGGTATATATGTAATATCTAAAGTACATGTGTGTATGTGAACAAATATTGACGTAATTAGAATTGATTGTGGTATGAAAAAAGGGGTTTTGCTACGATTGAAAGTTGCCAGTATAAATATTTGAGTTAGCACTTAACACACATTGCAGTTTAATTAATGACCCCCAAAACTGAGTTGACTAGAATCTTGAAAGTCAAGTTAGTCAATATTCGTGTATATCTTTGTAACTGGTAGTAACTGGTAAAGTAAATCAAAAATATTGTTTTGTATGTATTGTCAATATTCTATAAATGTTAACATTTTGATTTATAAATATTAAAGTTCAAAAAAAAAAACATTCAAAAATATAATGAAATTGTATTTATACGAAATGAAACAAATGAAATAAAAAAAATAATAATAATAATAGTACAAAATAAACATCAAGTGATTTTTACAAGAATAAAAATTATCAAAACCAAAAAAAAAAATAAAGAAAAATAAAAAAAAAAATAAAAAAATATAATCGGAAAACGTGGATGTGACAACGAAATCGGTCTTACCCGATATGTCTTAGAAAATGATGAAGTATTTAATATAAAGTTAATGTAGCTTGCGACCGAGGGCTTGATCGATGTTATCCATCGATCAGCTTCACACTTTCGAGAAAAGAGATATAGTTGTCGTTTTCGCTAGATTCTAGTTCGTCGTTCGTCGTATAGTCTACGCATGGCTTTAATGGAGACGTTTTTATTAAACTTTCTCTACCTCCCCTTTTCTCTTTTACCTCAGTTATTTCGATTTTCTTATTCAATCTAGATAAATCACGCTACTTGCTATAAGGATAGCAAATTTCATCAAATTTTTTAAATACATTCTTTTATATATATATATGCTAGGATGTTCCGACCACGTGTTGTTATGGTTTTGTTATAAAATGTTGATTTCATATAATTCTAAACTATTTAATAAATTTAAACAACATTCTAAACAATACCACAATTAGAATAGAATACATAAAATAATAATATGTGAAAATATATAAAAAGTAAGGTTAGTTATGTCATGTGTAAATCTGAAAAAAAGTGAAATAATTGAATTGTAATACGACGCCATCTATCGAAAAATTACAGTACCAAAAGATCTTTCGACCATGTGTTGATGTGGTTTTGTTATAAAATGTTGATTTAATATAATTCTAAACTATTTAATAAATTAAAACAACATTCTAAACAATACCACAATTAGAATAGAATACATAAAATAATAATATGGGAAAATATATAAAAAGTAAGGTTAGTTATGTCATGTGTAAATCTGAAAAAAACGTGAAATAATTGAATTGTAATACGACGCCATCTATCGAAAAATTACAGTATCTAAAGACCTTCCGATCACGTGTTCATATGGTTTTGTTATAAAATGTTGATTTAATATAATTCTAAACTATTTAATAAATTAAAACAACATTCTAAACAATACCACAATTAGAATAGAATACATAAGATAATAATATGTGAAAATATATAAAAAGTAAGGTTAATTATGTCATGTGTAAATCTGAAAAAAAACGTGAAATAATTGAATTGTAATGCGGCGCCATCTATCGAAAAATTACAGTATTTAAAAACCTAGATAACCTCTAAATAATAAAACCCTAAATGAGCAAGAAAAAATAGAAATAATCGCGATAAAAACTATCCTTTATGCTAAGTTGAAAAAAAATAACATAAAATGAATAAAATTTCCTGAATTTTTATATATAAATATATGTAAATATTAACATTAGAATATATCTTATTATATAAATTTCTTATTTATACTATATCACATTAAAATTATATATATATTTAGAATATATAAAAAATGATTAATTTGATATAAATTCATAGATGTAGATATTTATGTGAATACAATGTACTTATTAAATATATAATACAAGTGAATAAATAATTAAATAAATACATAAATATATATATATATAATTCTATTTAAATCAGAGAAATCATGAATGTGCATTTAAAAATTCAACGTTTATACTATATTACATACAAACGTACACATACGTAACACGTTAATGTATATCTTTTAACAAGCTAGTAAACAAACAAATGAAATTCAAGCAAAATTCATTGACGTAATTAAGAGTGAAATTATAACAGGTGTTTCGGATAAATAATCAAATTTTCGAGACTGTTGTAAATGTTGTAACCGAAGCTGATCAGACTAACACATATTTATATGCATGAATTCACGTTTCTATGTGTATATATATATATATATATATATATATATATATATATATATATATATATATATATATATATATATATATATATATATATATATATTTGATATTAACGTATAAACATAACATTTATTGTTTATAATTCTATGTATAAATAAGTATTTACACTCTCTTGTTATACCGAGAATTGTTTTTAATTTGTTTTTCATTTTTATTCCGTTGAAGCATGAGGCTTTGTTTTTAACCTTGTGTATACTTCTCGATGAAGCTTACAAACGAAAATTTTATCATTCAGTTTTCGAAGTGCTCTTGTACGAACAACTCTACTGTGTAGTTGAGAAAATATTATTTCAGTTTTTTTTTTTTTAGTAAGTACTTATTGTGAAGTTCATTTTTAAATTATTATTTTAAATGCACAATAATTATTTTGTATTGTTTTTTTAATTAGTTAGTTCATGCTGTTTGATTAATTAGAAAACATTAACGATTTGTATTAGTGTGAGAAGAGATTTTAAGTAAAGGAGTCACTTAAACTTGTAAAATGGTAGAGTAAAAAAATAATTATGAATATTATTTTTTAAATTGATTTTTTTGTTTGTTGCTACTGTATTTTACTTGTAGTATAATTTCACACATGTATATATAATATGTATTTGTATTTAAAACACTTTAATATCATTTATTTTCTATATTTTATTTTATTATATATTATTTGTTATTTTATTGATATGGGATTTTTTTTTTATATAACATAATATACGATAACGATTATAATATATAATTTTTTATTAATTATAATTTATAACGTATTATTCTTAATATTAGAAATTTAATTTGATTATTAATTTCATTTTCTAACTGTAGGTTTCCTGTTTTTTTTTTTTTCTAATTGGCACTCTTTTTTATTCGTTGTATTATTTCTCACACGTATATTTTAATTCATATCTCGATAATTGATAAATGTTTGAGAAAAGTAATCAATTTTGTCAATGCAATCGAACAAGAACAAATGATTCAACTCGTTTGAATTTCAAAGATTTCAAAAGAAAACTGTCGAAAAATGACGAACACCGTAAAATAACACGATTTGTTTTTTTGTTTATACCACGTTTCGTGGCACGTGTTAACACCCTTGATACACCTTACGATAAAATTAATTTTTTAAACGTCAAAACGTCAAAGTATGTCACGAATGAAAGGTTCAATGAAAACGTGTTAAATAAGATGCGTAAAGGATTCAATTAACGCTACTAACATTTACCTTTTATTTTCTTTAAAAAATTACAAATAACAAATAATCCGTCATATTTTATCGAACAAATTTTCTTTCTAATCTAACGTACGATAATTTAACCCTTTGAGTGCTATGGACGCATGTATGCGTTTGATAAAAATTACTAACCTGGTCGTTCCGACGCATATTCTTATTTGTTAATATTAATGTAAAATATAATTTTATTTTTATATTAATTAAATTACATTATATTATAAACAAAAGCTTTATATTATTAAATATAATTGCTTAATAATAAATTATTCCGTTTCTAAAAAACATTTTAGGTAAAACTATTCAACTCTCAAAGGGTTAATATCCAATATAAAAAAAGAAAGAAAAAGAAAGTGAGAAAAACAACTTGATAACATTGCGTGGAATTATCTACGAACAAAAAAAAAAGAGGGTGAGGGTGTTTAAATCAAACATATCGATTGTAAATAAATAAAGGGGTTGATTTATCCAAATTATTCGAAGACGTTCCTACTGATCTACTTTTATCCTCTCTTTCTCTCACACTGTAAAGCAATGAAAAAAAAAAGAAAGAGAGAGAGAGAGAGAGGACAGTATCGGTGCGACAAAGAGGGTGGGGGTGGTGATGGGGGTTGGAGGTGATAGTAAAGGGAACCCGTTGGTGGGTACCAGAAGTATGAGGAGGAGGAAAAGAAAGAGGTAGGGGTGATGGTGGTGGTGGTGGTGGTAGAGGTGTAGGAGGAGAGAGGGATTGGAAAAAGGTACTCTAAGGGGGTAGATGCGTCGGTGTGTTGCGCCGTAGAATTTGCCGCGGCACACGGCAGTCCATTGGCGAAGTTCTAACGAACAACCGCCGCCGGTTCACGACACCTTAAAACCCTTTACGATACGTGCAAAAGTTCGCGAGAAAGACCGCGTGCGTTTTCGTATTTTCAATCATTATTGACGATTTATTAATTATAAACGAAGAAGAAAAATATATTTTTTTTAATTAATTTATTTATTTATTAATTTATTATTAATACATTGTCATCGTCATCATCGTTGTCATCGTCGTGTAAAAATATTTCGCGTATTACAGACCTATCAATCATTTGTTTTGGTGGGTTTTTTTTTGTTTTTAATTTATATCAAAGGTGAAGAACGTAATTTAATGCATTATTTGTTTCATTTTTTATTGTAATGTTTTTTTTATTATTGTTTACACGAAAATTTATTCTCTTACTTTTCACAACCCCCATGTATTTTAATTATTCGATATTTTGTATTTCTTTTTCTAGGAATTGTTTGGTTAGTTCGAGATAAAATCAAGAACAAGTAATTACCGTTGGAAAGTGATTATGTGTTTTTTTTTTTTTTTTTTTTATATAATCGGTGTCTCTTGTAAACAATTTTTTTTTTTTCTGTGTTAAGTACACTTCTGTAATGTATAAATAGAAAGCTAGGGGAGAAACTTTTTGTTCGTTCGTCGTCATTATTATTATTATTATTATTATTATTATTATTATTATTATAATCATCATCGTGTTGTTATAATCATCATACATGATCGTCGCGTGTTATTTTTAATATAAAAATTTATATATTAAAGTATTATAAGAGAAACGGTTAAAGATAGAAAATGTAGTCTTCTTCTTGTTCTATATTAACTTTTAACTTTTAAAAAGTGTGATACGCTTTTATATACCCACTTTATATCTATACACACACACACACACACACACATATATATATATATATATGCACACATTTTTATAAACGTATTTCCTATTTATATTTGTGCATGGGTGTGTACGTGCGTATACGTGTACTTATATACATATAAAAAAGACTGATATAAAAATATTTGGAAATTACTTAATCGTTAATTCCTATCATAGATGTCAAAAAAAGAGGTAAAAGAAAAAAAAAAAAAAAAAAAATATAAAAATAGAATAAAGGTTAAACTTTCAGAAGCGATAAAAGTTACTCCAGCAATTTTGTTCCCGTTAGATCGGCTTGAAAAAGTTCGTTCATTAGCTTCTATTCCCATGAGACAGGGACGACAGTATATATTCGTCCAATTTTTCAAAAGAGGATTTTTCGATTTCCTAAATACTCCGTTCGTAATCATTTGCAATCTTTTTCTAATATTCTACATCTTTAATATCATATTTTATATATGTTATTTTTCTTTCTACCTCTTTCTCTCTCTCTCTCTCTCTCTTTCTTCATTTTACTTTTCAACGTCAATTTTATTCTATTTCAAATTGAATTGAATCTTCTAACATCTTTCTGATAATATATATTTTTCTTCTCTCCTCCATTTTACATTTTCTTTTTTTTCGTTTATTCTTCCTGAAAATATTATTTGCGATTTCTTTCTAATATCTTTCTAATATCACATATCTTATATATATATATATATCTCTCTCTCTCTTTTCTACTTTTCATCATTCTTTTCCTTTCACAAAATTTAATTCTCTTTCTAATATATTTCTAATATCACATTCTCTCTCTCTCTCTCTCTCTCTCTCTCACACTTTCTACAGGTTTTCATTATTTCTTTTCTAACTCTACTCGTATTTTAATTCTTTTTACTTTTTCTTCTAATATTTTTCTAATATCATATTTTCTCTCTCTCTCTCTCTCTCTCTCTCTCTCTCACTCTTTCTCTCTCTTTATGATTCGTTTTCCATTTTTCGTGATTTAATTTTTCTAATAAAAATCAATTTATATTCTTATGGTTTGTTACCATTACAAGTTCACTTTCTCTCTCTCTCTCTCTCTCTCCCTTTCTGATTCGTTTTCTACTTTTGGTAATTTAATTTTTCTAATAAAAATCAATTGATATTCTTATGGTTTGTTACCATTACAAGTTCATTTTCTCTCTCTCTCTCTCTCTATATATATATATATATAAATATCTCATTTTATCTATTTCCCTATTCATATATGTGTCATGACTACTTAGAGATGGTTTACCGATGGGCAAGGTTGTTAGCAACGGATTATAAAGTTAACCGCGGTCAGTGGAAAACTGGGGCACGCCCCAAAGCCACGCCGTCGCGATTTTGGCTACGCAACTACCCCTTCTTCTATCTTCGTCCTTCACCCCCCCCCCCATCCGCCCCGTTTTTTTATTTTCTCGAGATATGAGAAATAAAAAGAACTAAAAAATAACAAAACAAAAAAACAGTATCTCGAGAGTGACTGAGACCGAGAGTAGAGATTGAGAGAGGATAATAGGAGGATGTCGCGACCCTTGTGATTTATAGACTGTGAAAATAGGAAAGGGACACCATGAGTGAAAGAGAGAAAGAGAGAGAATGACAATAAAACCAGATGATAACTCGAATATTTTTCGTTGATATTTTTATATGATTAAATCGTTGTGCTCAAAAATTCTGTATATATATGTATATATATTTCTTTTTAATTTTTTTTTCTACCCCCCTTTTCATATCACAATTTTCTTTTTTTCTTAGTTCTAACATTAAATGTCATAAGTATACGTCATTAATTATTTGATATTGAATTTTATATTAGACGCAATATTTAAATGTAAAACGTGTTGGGAATTGTGCTCAAGTTAAAAGGAATTAGAAAAAAGAAATAAAATTGTGTAAATTCTTATTTCGGTTCCCCCATAGTTATATTACGTATATATATATACTATTAAATTTATTAAGTAATAAATAATATACGTAATATATGTATTATTAATATATATATATATATATGGAAGGTTATATTATTTTTTGTAATATTTATCTTTCTTTCTTTTCTATCATTTCCATCGGTAAATAACAAAAGTGTCGAGGCGTGCTACCAATTTGAAGGGGTTGTTCTTTTAAAAGTTTTATCATTTGCAGTTAATTGCAGGTCATTTTTTTTTCTTTTTTTTCTTTTTTTTTTGTCGGAACAAATTACGTTGATTCTCTTTTCGGCGAGTTTTCATTTCGATTTCTTTTTACCTTTCTCTGTGTGTTACCATTTATTTTTCTCTCTCTCTCTCTCTCTCTCTCTCTCTCACTTCCTCTTACACTAACACATTCAACATGTCCCATTTCTTCTTCTTTTTTGTTGTTGTTGTTGTTGTTGTTAGATTTTAGCAATTTCCTGTTTTTTTTTTACAATTTTTTTTTCTTTTTATCAAATTCGTTCATCCAAAGGCTGAGTTGCACTACTAGTATAGTAGGTACCCCCACACCTTTGAGAAGTGTTTATTTCAAACGTGGAACGAGGAGTGAATAGGGTATCGACAGCAGGTGCGAGTTTTCTCCTCCTATTCTACGATCATCTAGATGGAGGTTCCTTTATAGCGTAGACATCGATATAAGAGGGACGTTGCTCGTGTTAGATCGTTGCAAGCCATGTCACGTACGTTTAGTTTCGAACATCTGTTTGCTCCAGTATCGTTATGACTTGTACGTTAACTGTCTCTTTCTTGCATATACAAAAAAAAAAATAAAATAGGAAAAATATATTGAGAAAGAGAAATAGTTTTAATATATCGATCGTTAGATTATATCATTCTAATAAAAAAAACAAAAAAAAAATAATAGAGAAAGACAGAAAATTCGTCATTTAACCCTTAGAGTGTTATGAGCGCATATATGAGTTTGGTAAAAATAATCAGAGTGGTCTATCGATGCATACACGTCGTTTTTTCATATTAATGTAAAATAATGTAATATGTTTATATTAATTAATTAAATTATATTTATAAAAAGAAAAACTTATTAGAATCTAGTTAATAATAAATTATTTATATAATAATAGTTAATATTATTAATTCAATATAATATTATTTTAATATTAATTAATAATAAATTGTTCTTACAAAATATTTTAGTTAAAAGTATTCACCACTCAAAGGGTTAATATTTTACTTAATTTTTTCTTTTAAAATAGCAATTTATATAGAACAGAAGAAATATAATGAATTAAATAATATATATTATTTAAATAAAAGATCATTTTTATATATTTATTCATGTAATATTTTCTTCAATAATATCGTCACTCGTATCAAATGAAATTTTCATTAATTATTGTTTTTTTTTTATATAATTTAATTATTATTTTATGTTTCTGTTTAAATATACGTACGATCATATTGTTATTTCTACCATGATTATTTCATTAGGTTTGATCATTTCGAATTGTGATAGAAGAGACCTTAGTGTTATTTTGAATGAATAATTTGTCGTTTATCTATCGGGAAGAAAAAAAAAATTATAATAAAATAATCAAATAAAAGAGTGGGTGAACTTTAGAGTCTCCAGTGATGAACGTAGGAGAGAAAGAGACAGACATATTAGTGCCGGTTAAAATAACATCGACGTGTGAAAACTATAAAAATATAGTGTTTGCTATGTGTGATTAATAAAAATTAATAAAAAATAAAAGAAAACATAATTAAACGAGATATAAACAGTATTAAATAATAATTCATTAGTTATTAAATAAACGTCATCGTTCAACGTGAGGATAACAAGAGAAGAAAGAAGAATAATTGTTTATTATATTTTTTGAAAAACAAATTCGCAAATAATTTGTGCAATTGAGATAAGAAAAGGGAAGATAGAAGAGGACAGAAATATTGAAAAGTACGATTAAATGTGTTGAAAAGAGACATCAAAGAAAAAGAGAGAGAGAGAGAGAGATACGAAAGGACTGTGAGAGAGAAAGACATATATACATATATATGTATATATAGAAGAGGATCATAGAACCGAACAGGTTAGTTCATAGACACGAAACTTTCGTCGATTCACACTGACACTCTAACACCAATAATTCTGATTTAGAAGCCTCCAGATAACGTTCAAACGTATTTCCATCCACGATATACAGAGCTTTAGGATTTGTAATAACACGTGTAATTCACATACCGAATTCTTTATCAGTCAACTTTTGATATCACTTTTTTTTATCAATAATATATTAGATATTTTTCTTATTTTTTATTTTCCATTTATGTGGAACTTTTTTCTGTATATATATTTTTTTAATTAAATATTATTATATATATAAATATAATATATACTATAATTATATATAATAATATATTAATAATAATATATAATATATTAAATATATATTAATAATATATATAAATATAATATGATTATATTTTGTATAAATATTATTATATATTTTTATTAAATAATAATATTACTATATACCCTTCACTAAGGATGAGAAAAAAATAAGGGTTATTCGTTTGTTACAAACGTCACGTGTGATGTCACTCCTGTGACAGTTTTAACTAATAATAAATTATTTTTTATTTATAATTCTATATAATAATAATAATAATAATTATATATAAATATTATAATAAATTTATTTATAATATTATTTAGTATTTATAATGTTATATAAATTACAACATATATTATATCTGAGTATGTTCAATGTAAAATATTTCATTTAGACGAAATATCAAGAATGAAAATATCAAATGTCAAAAGTGAAATAAAAATTAAATTAAATTAAGAAAAAACATTATAGACAGAGAACTATTATAATTCACTTAAACGCAATAACACAAATTTGATGATTTTTAAATTGAAAAGACCAAACCTATTCTGTTTCAACCATAGTCGTGTTCGTAGCACGAAAATCGATTGAATTTTCGCGCCGATGCATGGATAATTCGCGATAAAACTATTATATCGTATCGTATTGAGTTTATGCATGTATATATATGTATATGTATATATGTGTATGTATGTGTATATATATATATATACGTGGTAGCGTTCATATTCCACGCGTGCATGCTTCTTGCGTACACGCGTACGTGCGTACATTTGTTCGTGTATGAGAGAATCGTAATCGTTATTTTACAAATAAATTATGCGTTTAACATCGGCCTTCCGATCTTTCAACATCGCTGAATACGTAATCGTTTATTTAGAGACAATTCGTCGAAAATCATTGCTTTATCATAACTCGCTATTTATTATCACATTTCATATCTATTTTTATCATTTACTATTCAATTATTTTACAATTAATTTTAAACGAAATTTATAAAGCAGTCTATGTTTCTGTATTGTAAACGAAAACTAGTATTCAGTTCTTTTCTTAATATTTTATTTTCTAGAAAGGAAAATTCTATTCAGAGATTAAAAGAAAAGATTTAGGAGAGCCATAAAACCATCAAGTAATTTAAGAATTATCGAGATATATTGGTTCGATGAAATCCCTTTGTGCAGTGTTGGGCCCTTTTGAGGAGTTTCGGATTCCTATCTAAGCACGTATGAAACCATAAAAAGGAATAACATTCTGATATTCTAGACCAAGTTTCTTTATGCATAATTTCCATTACCAAAAACTATAGGCTGTACTCACCGGTGGACTATGGGGTGGATCCTTATGCTATTGGTCAATAAGATTCATAATTTCCTTCCCTCTCCAAAGGGGTGTAGGTCATTTCTGATATACATATGTGGAAAGAAGTAAGAAAGTGTCTTTAGTTAGTCTATCTGTATCATCAGTTCCTCAGTCTGTATTTGTTCCTTAGTGCTTAGTTTTTCAGTCTTCAGTCTTTGGTCAATCTGTCTCTGTGTCTGTCTGTTATATCCGTCTGTGTATTCAGTTATACTGCAAATCGGTCAGTCAATCGGTCTTATATTTGTGTAACTCTTTTATATTCTGTATTTCTGTAACCACGCGACTTTGTGTAAACTTATGTAAATATCGCTCGACATCACATCATGTATTAAAAAAATTATCACACATATATTTCATTATTCATCATCAGTTATTATATTGCTCTCTGACTGAGCCCCCACAGTATGTATCATATTTTTGTAATATCATAATGAATGATTTTTAGGAAATTTTTACAAATATAAAGTGAGACCAAAATTTTGAAAATCATTTCAAACAGTAACAATCTGTTCTTTTTTTGTTGTATTATATTATATTTTAATAATTACATTGTATCAAAGTATTTTATTGTTTTAAAATGTGATAAACAAAAAATAAGCTAATAAATATTGGATTTATTTTGTTATTTGTTTTGATTGGATAGACAAACAAGAAATAATATAACTTCAAGTTTGAATTAGATTTTAAAAGTTTGCAAAAGTGTTGTTGTCAGATTAACAATTGTAATGATTTTTAAAAATTATTGCAAATACAAGCTGTGTGATCAAAATTTTTTTAAATAATTTCAAACAGTCAATATTTATTCTGTCATATGTTTATATTAATATTTCAATTGCATCGAAATAAATTATAATTGAAAAATGTGATATAAACAAATAAAATGGTTTATAAATTTAGGATTTATTGTGTAATTGTTTTGATTGGAAAGATAAGAAAAAAAAGAATATAACTTTAATTTTGAAATAGATTTTAAAAGTTTGTAGAACACTTGTTGTCAAAACAATATATAAATATAAATTAGCAATTTTCGTAATAAAATATAATCGAAAAGTTAAAAAAAGTAAATAAGCAAATAAGATAAAGATAATGATAAAGAAAGAGAGAGAGAAAGAGAGAGAGAGAGAGAGAGAGAGAGAGAGAGAGAGAGAGTGGTATTATTGAATGAAATTAGAGGAATCGAAAGAAAATAAGTATTCATTTTGATAACATTATTTTCCTCTCATGGATATCCAAAATATCGAATTTATTCTCAATGCATTTGTCTGTAGAAATTACATGGAGAAATAAAGACAAAGATATAAAGGATAATAGAGAAAAATAGGAAAGAATAGAAGAGAAGAGAAGAGAAGAGAAGAAAAGAGAAGAGGAGAGGAGGGTCAGTGAATCGTTTTTGTGCCAAGAAGTAAAATTGTACTCTCCTTATCTTCGAGAGATACACTTTTAAAAATTCTTATAGATTTACAGGAAAGAGAAAAAAGTTCTGTCTGCCGGATGCTTTGCATTATTTATTGGTTTGAAAAATAATAAAAGAAATAGAAAAAAAAGAGAGAGAGAGAGAGAGAGAAAGGGTTGAATTGACAGTACGAAATTTTATTATATAATATAATTAAATAAAATAAATAATAATATAAATTATATTATTTATAATATAAAAAAAATAATATATAAATAAATTTAAAATATAATATACAATAGTATCGTTAAACAAGAATTTCAATTGCTGATTACGTTCCATTGAAATGTATTATTTTATAAACCACGAATATTGCAAATAATCATAATAATAATAATAGTAATAATCGAACGTTATAACAATATTTGTTATACGAATAATATGTTGAAAAAGAATATTATTCGTCGTTTAATACTAATATTGTATATAAATGTCATGTAAATATTTCTCTCATTTGAATTTGTGTATATGCAGTCTGTATATATATATATATATACATATATTTATTTATTTATGTAATATCGGTTTTCATAAGTAATTAATAATATGAAATATAATAATGAATAAATCGTTAAGAATATTATATCGATTAATGTTTACATATTTGTTTTTAAAAGATTTAACATTAATCATTCCGAAAATTATTTAAAATTTATAAGAATAATATGATATTTATACGTATAATTATCAAATTATATATAATATATTATAAAAATTCTCGTATAGGATCGCGTAAACAAAATTTGAACAAATAATCTGAAAAAAAAACGAGAAATAATTGAATTGTAATACAGTGCCATCTATTGAAAACTTACCATATCAATCAATATTCACTAATAATTTCTGGGACTTCAAATTAGGCATAAAACAATATAAATTTTTAAAATATATACAATTGATAATATACATAAATAACAACACACAAAATAATATCACAATTAGAATAGAATACATAAAATAATAATATGCAAAAAAATATAAAAAGTAAGGTTAGTTTATGTCATAGGTAAATCTAAAAAAAACGTACGACGTGAATATATCCAAATATTACAATTGAATTGTAATACGGTGCCATCTGTCGAAAACTTCCAATACTTAAAGACCTAGATAACCTCTAAATTAGCTTTAATTAATCATTAAATTAGCAATATAAAAAATAACAAATAATCGCGATAAAAACTATCCTATATACTAAGTTGAAAAAAATCACACAAAATAAACAAAATTTCAGTAGTTTCGAAATTCATTGGAAACTAATAATGTGACACTAAATTTTGTATAATAAATAATTTCTTTTACCATTATATTATATTATTTTACAATATAAAACGTAGTATAATATTAAATAAGTCGTAAGATAAAATTGATTTTTTTTTCTTCTATCTATACAAATATATTTTCTTTTTAGATTTGAAATGGAGAAAAAAAGTTTTTGAACTTTGACTACGATTTGAGAAATCGATTTTACGAGTATACTACACGTGAGGTAATCGAATCATGGTTCCTAGAGAAATGGACGACACTTCCTATCTATCGCAAAAGCACAGATCCTTTTATATTATATAACATATAAGTATATACACAGATCTTAAACATATACTTGTTACATATAAATATATAAGCATGCACATATATATATATATATATAAAAATTGGATTTTCCAATTTATTGCTATTCTCAGGGTGAAGTATTTTTCTCTCACTTTTTTCTCTTTTTTCTCTTCTTTCTTTCTTTCTTTATTTCTCTCTTTAGGTTGGAGATAAAAATGAAAGGTGAATATTAAATTTTCATGGTATATCTTAATTTTTTTTCTTTTTTTTTTTTCATCTACCTTCCCTCACAATTCATTTCTTTCAGACAAATGTTAATTACGAAATGATGTTA